CTGTCTTGTAAAGAAAAGAAAAAAAGAAAAGAAAAGAAAGAAAGAGAGGTCTTGCCTCAGTGTAGCAAGCCAGTCTGGTAAACTGAGTCCATTTTTGGAAATGATTCATTAAACCAGATCATTGTTTCCCAAACAGCAGGATGCACATGACCAGGGAGAAAAATATGGTGTGAAACTAAAGCTGAAGAAAAAAAAAAAACTATAGAACAAACATTTTGACTTGTCAAACACAACTGTAATGATTTACATTAAGTGCTACACTGTAGTACTTACAGGAGTTAATGTTATTAGTCACATCTTTGCTTTTTTCATTATGGCTGAAGGACAAGACTAAGAACAAACAATGCAATAATTTTTGTTTCAAATAATTTAGATGTAATAAGCCTTTAAAAGTGCAAAACAATTGGTCACAATTACACACACACACACACACACACACACACACTCCCCACCGAGTACAGTGAGTTGTGTTTATTTCTACCCTTCTTATGTCCATGTGGGGAAAGAGGATGCTGTATATGCACCAACCGACTACTGGGCTTTCAAGTAATTTCCATCCAAATAAACAAATTTCAGTGTTAATAATGATCATGACATTCATTTAAAGCCACTCTCTAATTTCAGTTCAGCCTAGAGGGTCTAGTGAGACTCTAAACACAATGGCGCCATAAGCTCCTCCTAACTCTTTGCCCCTCACATCACATCCATAAACTACAGATGTCTGGTTGTGACAAACTGTTCAAAATGCAGCCCCAGTCTAAAGCTAGAGTTAGCTGACTAATGAGTAAATATGTCAGTCTAATAATACATGTTACTGCTACTGTTACACAAAGCTCAAATAAAGCTCCCAGATTAAAATCATATTACTTCAATACAAAAGGAAAAAATGTGACCAACATAGGTCACTAATGTTATCAAACCAAAGACATTAGCGTTAGATGCTAACACATCCAGAAGGAAGAACAACACATCTAAACCAAAGTCATTTGGCTGCTTTTAACACTCTCCATCTTAAAATCAAACCAGTGTTGACGAGAGCTCCTTCACGGCTGGCTCTTTGACATAACTACTCACTGTTTGAAGAACACTTCGTATTACTAGGTGGCAGGCAGGGCTGATTTATGGACCATATTTTGAAAACAGTTTTAAAAAGCTGGAATAACAATAGAAGGGCTGCAGGCAGCAGTGTCGT